TGAGAAAAATTGGAATTTTACACTAAAAGTCATCCAATACTGCTGATTAAGAATATGTGCTTTATAGGGTGAGAAAATGTTTCATTTTTTTCCCAACGTCCATAATAAATACGCAGTTCTTTAAATTCTAGACAGTGCTGTAAAGTTATCTTTTGGACTTAAAAATTCCCTCTTCCAGGTGTTTCGCAAAGATTTGATTAAGTCAATTATCAGCTTAGCTTTGGGGCGCCTCCTCAGCCTCCTCCTTCATCCTGCTATATGGCCGCTTGGATCGCAAATTCTGCTTAAGCTGCAGCCTCTGCCACTTTAGCCCCCGACAAAACGAAAATTTGCAGTTAGCTTCCCATAACTCACACGGTTTAGGTTATTAGCGTAATGCAGCCCAGACGACTGTCGCACAAGGAGTCGAGATGGCGGGTGGAAATGAGGCAGGGTCCCAGAGATTGCCATGTGCATAAACCGCAACGTATGCGAGGGAGGGTGGGAGGGAGGTAGCGAGGGGCACATAACCCTGACAAATGGGACTCGGTTCCTGGACAGGTTCAGCAGCCAAGTGTCTGGGTCTGCATCTGAAATTTATAATGCAGCCATAACTAAAGTCGGGCGAGTCTCACCTCGCACCCCTTAGATTGGCCCACCGAAACTGCCATTATGGAAATGCTCAGCGAACTGTGGTGAGAAGAACTATTTTCAAATTATATTACGCCCTCGCGCTGAGCCATCAGAGCTGAAATAAACTTTGGACTGAATTACCTCGCACATCGGCAATATCTCAACTCAGTCAATAAAAATAGAAGGAGCAGCTGTGGAGGAACCAAGCAAAGCACTTCATAGCTTGTTTATGAAAACCAAAAGCACATAACAAATAAATATCTTCAACGTGCAACATAAAAACGTATTTACGATCCGGAAATAAATGGCAAATTGTCGCATAATATTTGTTTGAGCAAAACAGATAATCAAATAGGGCTGAGCCTCACTTAACCAAGGGGCCGGGATCAAATGGAGATGACTGGACACTCAGAATTCGCTTGGTGTCAATTCTAATAAGTTAGAACCGATTTCAGGGGTGGAAAAGGATTTGGATTTGGATTCAGAGCGTGGCAGATGACGTTAATGTGCGATAAAAATTCGTCATAAAATGCAAGATGAAGGAAAAGGCACAGTGAAGTAAATGACAAAATGTGTTTGCCTTGCTGAATATTTAACTGGTTGCCATGAGCTTCGGGTCTATTTGACATTATTATTCTATAAGTCCTTTACAAACTTGACTAAAATGTTACCAGAAACAAATTTCAAAATAGAAAAAAGTGAATCAGCATATTTGTACGTTAAAACACACTCATTTAAAATAATTCAAGGCATTGTTGATTTTCAAAGATCCTGAAGGACACGTTTTAAAATTTTTCCTAGATAACATTAGATTATTAAATTAACAAAGCATCCCGAAAAACATTTTGCATATAAATATTTATGAATGAGGAGCTGGTCGTAAAGCGAAGACAATTTGCATATGTATGCATTGAAGGGGAAGTATTTCAGGACTTTTCAGGGGGCTGCGGAGTAAAAGCAGCTGACTGAGTGAACTGGAAGCGGGTGGAAAAGTCAAGCACCTAGCTCATATTACGACATCCTACGCATCAAATGACACGTTTTAACACCAGTGCAAATGCAGGAACAACGCACACAGAGTGACACACCATGACCAGAAGCTGCAAACGTGCATCCCGCCATTGTGTGATGCAGTTAGGAAAAATATATAGGAAATATATATATTACATCCAAATTAATTCTGAAAGAGTTTATCAAGTAGGCATTTCTGGTATTCATAAGTATCCCTTTTATCGTTGGGGCCAAAATAATAGGAAAATCATTGAAAGAGGAGGGGGAACATATGAAAATCCGTTTATGCTTAAGTTCATCAACCGATGCAAGAATTAAAAAAAATAGTAATCATTTTTTTTAGGGCTTTTGATATAAAAGTGCGATTTTTTTCTGTGTATTTCCTGCTGCATATGCAGCTTCTTCTAGCGCCATTTCCGAGACGCTGATGAGCGAGGAAAGAGGAGCCGAGATGCCGCCGCGAGTGCACATGGACTATAAACCGCATTTTTACGTGCCATGGGAACGGAGGACGCCGGGGTCTAAAAGCGTAGCTAACCGTTAAACTCTTTAAGCTGATGCCTTGGAACAGGCAAAGGCCAACAGAGAGTTTCCAAGACAGCAACTGCCAATGCAAGTGCCCAAAACAAACAAGCAATTACTTCGCAATATCTGTGAAATTAAGAAACCGCTTTACAGCTCCTTTCCAAACGAAATTCCTTTTTCGTGTATTTCGGGTTCAAGCATTAAGGTTGAGTGAAGTTAGAAGTAGAAACTGAAACGCTATCAGAGTTAAACGGATGAAGCTCTGAAAGCAGGTATCAGCAGTCAAGTGTAGCAGCAAATCGCCTGCTGCTAAAACATAGGGAGCTCACAGAAGCAAATATGGATTAAATTAAAAAATATAATAATTAGGAGCTTAAACAGGAATCACCATTCTGAAAAAAATATCCCACTAGAGCCGAAATCCGACTTATAATCTATCTTGTATTTTCACTCCCTGCACCTTACAATTGGACCCATTATTTCACACCCTTCCAATTCGATTTAAACTAAAATTTAACTTTTCCCGTTTCCATTTCCATTTCATGTTACAGCAACATATTTCTGGCTTCCTCATCACACATCCCTCGGAGGGACAGGCGTTGAAAATCTGCCCAATTCGTTTGCTTTGATTACGAGCTTGTTGCACAACCAAAAACACCTCCGAAGCCACAAGCCCCAACTACTGGGCTGGTCAACATTTAGCTAACTATTTTTTCACACTCACCAGCTCCAAACATCACTGCCCCACTCCACTCCTCGTCTTGTTGCTCCTTTTTTGCCAGTCACTTTTAAATTAAGCAATTTGAAATGTTGACCAGGGAATCTTTCCTTTCCTTTGCTTCCATTCCAGACCGCAAAATGTTGGGCCACAACTTGTGCAGAGTGTCACGGGTTGTAATCGCTCGTTGTAGGTGGCTGTAACTTGGTCAGGAACAGGACCAGCGGAGAACCAGTTGCAATAGCAGTAAAGATAGCGGCAACATACGGAGGACCCCGCGGGGGGAACGAACCGTGTCGAAGGATGAGTCGATGGCCAACTAACTACAATTTTTTGATTGCCAGTGTTTTGTAAGCGCGCTGGCCATTTGCGTTACTACCTCACCACGTCCATTGCCCACCCTCTGAATATCCCCTCTAAAGGCGAGCTTTGGTCAGCTCAGCACTGGCCCAGCCATTTTAATTTCACTTTACGGTTTCCAAACACGAAATCCTTTTTGCCACTAGGTGTGCAGCCAGGACTCGTTTTTTATCGTCCTGCACTGCTCCCTCCAAGACTCCGTGAGAAGGTGTGTTTGTTTGGGTCCCCTGTTTGTGGGGTATTAAAAAGTGAAATGGTGGAATCCGAAACCCCAAGCCGACAGAGAAGGATGCCAGTCATATGTGTGTACAGGAGGCGACGGAGAGGAGAAGCATGTGGCAGATACCAACTTTGAACTGGCATTGGGAGGCATGTCAGAGATTCCCCTAGATTGGTCTCGCCCCGAGTTTTGGCCAGGGTCGATTAGGTACGGTTTGGGTTACGCCACGATGATCTAAGCATATCTAATCTGGTTGAGATTGCACCTGCGGTGCTTCAGGAATCTTTTTTATCCTTCGAAATACGTACTGAATTATTTAATCGGTTAACGACTCACTTCCCCATGTATACCCCATTATGTTTATAGGAAATTAAATAGGCAATCACAAACAGCCAACCGGAACGGCAAAAGTCCCCTATGAAAGAAATGCCAACGGCATGAGGAAGGCAAATAAAATAAATAACCTCCAAAGGCAATCTCAATTGAAAGCGACAATATTGTTTTTAATGATTTTCATGGCCCAGACGCAGTGCCGGAATCTTTCCGGCAGAGAAAAATCTTTTTATTTGGCTTTTTGGCTGCCGAAGGGAGCGGAGCCAGCAAAAACGAGGAAAACAAGCGGAGATAAAGGAAAATAACACAAAGCATATGCGTGGGCGCACCAGTTACGGAGCAACAAAGGCCATGGAAAATCAACAAGGAAGAGGGAAATATAAGATTGACTTAAAACATCTCCCCCGATGGCGTGGAATGGAAATCTTTTGAAAACGTATGCCAAAGATAACAATGCCGTTTAGCCACTTAGTGCATTACCTTATTAGACTCTGTCCCTCGTGGGAGTATCAAATATGGAATGAGCTGCAAATACATTTCCGCAACGCATTTACATTCGAATATTTGCTGAATCAGCGCGGAATCATCATCATCAGCCAATGACCACAATAAAGTTTACGGGGTAAACAAGAAGTCAAAGTCTGGTGATTGAGCAGTTCAAAGTTTCTTAGCCAAAGTTGCGCTCAAGAAATCAAAGTAACTTTCCTCACTATTGCGAACTCTCCTTCCCCTCGAGGGGTAAAAAGTATATGTGTACTTTTTTCATCAACTGCTGTATAGTTATTGGAAACTTTTCCTAAAACGGGGAACTTGCTGGTTTAACAGCAACTGACCAACTGCCTGGGACGAGAACCACCGAAGAACCAAAAATGTCGAAATTAAAACGAGTTAGTATATTACATTCAGTTGTTGTTTAAAAAGGAGAAACACATTTTTGTACACCATAATTTTTATGACGTATTAATGATTTCAAACGATTCAAAGTAAACTTTAAACAACATTTTTCTCAAATTATTCATTGCAAGTTTGACCTCAAATACTCTGATAACACATTTTTTGAGGTGTCGTTTAACTGAATTTCATTCTCAGTTTGATTGGTTTTAACAAAAAATTGTATTTAGTCAACCATATAACAGCAAAGATTCTTAGAAAGTTGTGAAAAAGTTAAATTAATTGGAGAAACATTCTTAAAAAAGTTTATTTAGAAGAAATACAACTTACTTATCCAACTAATGAACATATCTAAATTAAATTTATTACGCTTGACAAAATGTTGTATGCACAATTATTAGTAGACATAATTTTCCTAGGGAATTTATAAGTTTGCTTAGCTCCAAGGTTCAAGGGACAATGGCCAGGGCGTGCGTGTTGCTCACGCCCCCGCGGCAACATCCTCTCCAGCAACATCGGCAACAACTGCAGTACGGAAAGTGTTTATAAGTTCGGCTGGGATAGTGGGGCAGCCAAGGTGAAGAGAGGGCCAGCTGGTTCTGCCCAGCATTCTGCACTTGTTTAATTAAAAAACTTTCGTTGCTGATTTTATTAGCCCTCTGCCTTAAGACTTCGAGCTTAGCTTCGAGTTCCTTACGGATCGGGGCTGCCTGACCGGCTTGAATGCGGTGTGGGGTCCGATGAGCTGCTTGCTCTTCTTGACCGTGTACTCCAGTGCCTCCTCGCTCTGGTGCCACTCGTCCGAGGCGAAGAAGACAAAGCCGGCACGCTCCGCCTGGCGGTAGGCCTGCAGGGGTCCCCGGGACCCGAAGTCGTAGTGTAGCGGGCGGGGGCGGTCCGTCTCGATTGAGCTGAGGATCGGGGAGAATATCCGCCAGATTTCGCACTGCTCGTCGGTGCGCATGAAGAGCGTCTGGTCGCCTTGGAAGACGTTGAGCAGGAAGCCGGGGTAGCCCTCGATGCCCTTCGGTCCCCGATCGTCCACCCGCAGGCTGATCTCGCTCTCCCGGAGGCAGAGGTCCTCGCCGTGCCGCTTCAGGCGCATGCGCATGAAGACCTCCTCTGTGGGGAAGGATCGCAGGACCAACTCGTTGCGCACGTCCGCGCTTTCGCTGTGGAAGACGTCGCAGTCCCCGGGCTTGTACTGGATCCGCACCTCCGACTTGCTGTCGTTCATGGCCTTCCCGGCCCGCAGGATGAAGGGCACTCCGGACCAGCGGCGGTTGTTGATGTGGAGCACCACCAGGGCGAAGGTGGGCGTGAAGGAGTCCTTCGGTACGTAGCTGTGCTCCGTGTACCCGCACTTAGCCGGGTCAGCTTCGCGCCCGTTGTTGCGGTACTGGGCAAGGACCACGTCGCCCATGTTGGGGGTCAGCACCTGGCGCAGAATCTTCAGCCGCTCGACTCGCAGGTCGTCGGCGGAGTTCGCGTACGGCTGGTCCATTGTCAGCATGGCCAGTACCTGGATCATGTGGTTGGTCATCAGGTCGCGAATGATGCCGAATTGGTTGAAGTAGTCCGCCCGACCCGCCTGCACCGGGAGCTCGCACTTCACCGAGATCATCACCGCCGCCACGTGGCGGTTGTTCAGGGTCTCGCCCCACAGGTGGTTCGAGTAGCGCAGCGCGAAGAAGTTCTGCATCACCTGCCGACTGAGCAGATGGTCCATCAGGTAGATCTGCGACTCCCGGAAGCTGTTGCACAGCGAAGTCTGGTAGGTCCGGAAGGAAACGTCGTCCCGCGCAAAGGGCTTCTCCACAATGATCCTGGTCCAGCCCGAGGGGGAGGTGCACTTCCGGCTGGCGTTGAGGGTCACCTGGTCGAAGACGACCGGCGGCAGGGCCAGGTAGAAGATGCGGTTCGCATGCACCTGGCTGTGCTTCTCCTCCTGGCGAACCATGGCCTCGCTGAGGGCCACATAGTGCTCCGGCCTGTCGTACTCGCCCTGCACGCAGTGCACGTTCGTCCAGAAGCGGTTGTACTTCTTCGGGTCCCGATTCTTGTCCAGGTCCATGTAAGGTAGCACCTGCAGCCGCAGGGTCTTCGTCTGCAGCTGGGTCCTGCAGAAGGTGAATATCTTGACGCCCTGCGGGAAACCTGTTTTCGCGGTAAAGGGACCAGAGCGCCGGGAAAACTTTCTGCTTGGCTAGGCTACCGGAGGCTCCGAATACCACGAAGGAGTATGCCATCTCGTTGTGGGGGTCGATTGGAAGCATTTTGCTAATTTTAATTAAAGATTAATTTTGAGGAAACAAATAAGGAAGGAAAAGCTCGAAATTAGGCCGGAAACATTTGTTTTTAAATTAAGTTATTCAATGAGAGCTATTGCCAGGAAATACAGACTGCTGATAAAGATAAACCAATCCCAATTTACACAAGGTCCTGTACATGTAAGCTATCAGCCAAATAAATATTTGGACAATCAATCTAGATAGGACAGTGCAGAGGATAGATAAATACATTTTCTTGGTTATAAGCAACTTTTTACAATATTGTTCAAGTGTCAAATTTTGTAATAATTATCTAACAATATAATCTAAAACAGATATGAAACGGATAATTATTAAATCTTATTAAATCAGTTCCAGAACTAAGACAACAATTAACAATTACAAAGTAAAACCATAAGAAAGAACACTACGAAGCTTCGAAAATTGGTATTATAGAATGGATTATGAATACCTTTTTATACCCTTGCAATTGTACAATACCAATTGGTCAGAAGTCAGAAGACATTTCCGACCTTATAACGTATATACATTCTTGATCAGCATGTCTAGACGAGTGATATAGACATGTCCGTCTGTTTCTATACCGTTTAGCGAGTTCAGTTTAAAAGCTAGTGATTTAAAACATTCGCAATCGTGTTTTTTATGTGTACGCAAATTGGGTTTGGAAACAGTAGAGATCGGACGTCTATATCCTATAACTCCCATATAAACTATCAGGCTAAATTATTTTAATTTAAATCGCTGGTTTTTGGTTAAAATAAATTTTTAATGTTTGGAACCTATTCCTTGAAATTTGGTAATAATCGTTACACTATATTCAATAGCTGTCATATATCTGTCATACTGACTATAGGTCAAAATTTTTAAATTTCGATGTTTTTTTTAATTTGTGTATAAATGGTTGGTTTTTGTCTAAATTAGTTTTTTTTTAAAGTTAATTATATTCAATAGTTTTCATATATGTCTCACACTGAACATACGGTAATATGTCGACATTTCGAGCAGGGTAAAAGATAAAATCAAACTTTTGAAAGCGTTATTTTCGTTCTCCTTCTCGTTAGAAGGCAAATATTTGTTTATATTTAGGAACAATTTTCAAGGGTAATTAAACTTCGGTTTGCAGAGGCTAGCTTCCATTTGCGTTCTATCCTAATAATGAGGAAAAAATAGGTTAAACACTGGGTTAATTTGACATAGGAATGCAGGACACATACAAGAGTATACTAAGACCGAATCGTCTTCTTGTCCTGTAACAATTTACCAATCAATTAAAAAAAATAGTGACCACACCGCTGATTAAAAACAGCAAGTTAATGCATTAATTTTTAGCCAGTTGTAAGGCACTTTTTGCCGCTGGGAAATACCCGAAAACATTTTGACTTTATCGCCATTTCTGGGTGCCAAGTAAAGTGTTTTTAAGCAATATTATGCCACTAATGTTTTAAAAGGAATAAAGCTCGGTGGCTGCAGAACGTCTGCCCTATAAAAACAAACTACAGCTAGTGGCCAGGATTGTCTGGCAGAGCCGACAGTAAGCCTCAAGTTCCCCGAAAGCACATAGGAGACTCTGCCTGCCCTGCAATTCAAATTCAATCAATTCAAATTCCCTAAGCCACAGTTTAAAAGCAAGCGAGGGACCCAAAGGAGCTGGATTGCAGTGGCATTTCTATTTCTTTGCGTGCCACACATGCTGTGAAGGCGGCTAATAGGAAGGGGCTCCTATTGCGATTCCTATCCTCCGCCACCCTGGACAGATGATTCGAGCAGCTCGGCGGGCAGCACCTTTGATGCTCCAATGAACGGGCTTATTCAATTTCTTTGGAGGATAGTCGCAATAGAAGTCTGGCTTTCAAACAGCAGAACCCTTACTTTGGCCATCAGAGAAAAAGTCTTGAGCTTAGCCAATAGGGTTCCATTTTCCCGCCTCAAGTGGAATTCCCTTCCTCTTCCCTTTTATTGACTCATGCAGGATCGTTTAAGAAAGTTTCTAAGCTGGAGCTGCAGTCGTGGCCGCAGCATCTGCTGCTGCCGTTGAGCCACCTGCGGCAGTTGTCTTCTTCGGCCCCCCCTTTTTGGGTTTCGTGCATTTCTTTAACTTCGCGTTCCATTTGAGAGGGGCCTTACACTTCTTGGCCTTGGCTTCCGTTTCCACGGCGAAGCAGCAGAGCAGCAGCACCAGCGTTACAATGCAGAGGTTTATCAGGGAGATCTTCATAGCTCTGCGAATCGAAATGGTCTAAGAAGAGTTTTCCACCTTCACGACGTGTACATTCCGCTTATAGTTCGGTAGAGCTAAACCTTTTAGGCGCCTGACATTTCACGGTACTTTATTTCGCATGTATTTTGCAACGCTATATAAATAATAAATCTACAATTGTATAATCTTCAATAGGTCAAGCACCAAACCGGTTTTTAAAATGTTTTGAATTTCTCTACTCATTTTGAAGATCAGACAAAACAGTTGGACCGGCAATAGTGTAAAATGTTACCCTACAGCTTTATTTTCATATTTTCTCAGTAATTTTTTAATCCTTTTTTTTTAATTTTTGATGATAAGAGAACATTTCTAATCTGGCATATTCCTAACTACAATTATATTTTTTTTTAGACTAAGCAAAAACGAAAAGAATCTTGGGAAATTAAGAAAGCAAATATAAACTAGAAAGATGTTGCGAAAACGTGCCGCACGAATCGAAATCAGAACTAATCCAATGGCGCTTCTTGAGCTTCTGGTTTCTCGCATTCTCCGACTTAGTTCATCTCGCAGTCTTTTACGTGCCCGTCAAACTTCGCACAATCAATAAGGGAGTGGTCATGGGGAGATTAGTTGCCGGGAGACGGAACCAAAGCCTCTCGGATTGGACATCTTGAGCTGCAATAGGTTGTTGTGGCCGCTGTTAATTGGCTTTGTTTACGAACTAACCCCGAGCACCCTTGATATTCACAATTCCCCTACAAAAACGTCTTACAAATGCTAGCCACATCCATCTAACAGCCATTCCAGGCACACCTGGCGTGTGCTTGTTATTTTCCCATAATCATGGTCGAGCATTGTTCAAGTGAGCTTGTATTTACAACTAATTGAGGCCGAAGACTTACATTTGAATAAGATAAGTCTCATTTACTGGGCAGATATCCTTCCAATTGATTCAAGTAGAAGTGCGTTCGACATAAGGATTAATTGGCCTAGTGCGAAGACAGTAATAGCAGACCAAATCAAGATTGCGGTAATGAATTGGCCAGGCTACTGAAAGCATTAATAGATTAATTTATACAACTTTTAAAGTATATTATAAAATTAACTTCAACAATGCAATTAAAAAGGTGCTGTTGTTTTGCTTAGTGTTACTTTTATATAACAATTATTATATAATATATAATATGGTCTAAAACGAATTCTTAATTGATAAGTTCGTTTTTGTAATAGAAAAACCTTGACAATCCGTTACTAAAAAAGTAGGACAATTGACTAAATCCATAATCAGGTTTGGAATATGTAGCTTGATTCTATTTTGACCTTAAAATTACTGCCTGAAGGAATCGCAAAACTCATCTCTATTGAACAAATTTAGAAGATACCAACTAACTTAAATGCTAAGGATATGCATAAATTCTTGTCATGGATAATGCTCTGACAAATGAGTAGAATCATTGGAAATGCGGCACATCCCTCATGTTCTGACCTTTTCAATGACCCAGCAAGAAGCCATTGCTTCCCTCAATTCGATGCGGCTCTTTCGGGGGCCTTTGCGCTCAGTAGGCCAACTGGCGCCTCTTGAAAGTCAATTTCAATCAGCAAACAAAGGAAATTTCTAGGCCAGAACATAAACACAAACAGAAAAGTGGTCAATGAGCCCAAAGTAGGAAGAGCACCGGATGGATAGCCCAGCCAAAGTGGCTGAGAAGGAGAATGTGGAGGAGCCAGGCCAAGCAAAAACTTTGCCAACGATTTATGCACAGGCTAAACATTTTAAACACATGCATAAATCAGAAACACACAGGGACCAAGGAAGCAGAGTGAAATATTTGGCAAACAGTCGCTTAAAGCCAAAGTTTTTAAACAACTCAAGGAACAGATCAGAATGGGCAGGCTTTTCGTCCCGATGATGTGTGACAGTTTGTGGCAAATTGAAAATGCACGGGTCGTCTGAGTGGGAACGGCAGAGGAGACGGACTTAGACACGCCATTAAGCTCATAATTGCCACATGGAGATAGGTCCGAATCCCTAGACAGGCTGGACACCCAGAATATGTGCCATCTGCCACGGGTTTATTGTGGTTTATTTGCTTTCATTTACTTTCACTTGGATCACATAAAATTTAATTAAATTGTTTTATTGCATTCAGGCCAAATGGAATTCCTTGAGCCAACTGCCATCAACTTCAGCATTTCGTGTGCCAACAAGGCGCACAAAAGAGGCGAAAATAAAAAAATCCCTGCACGCATAATTAAAAGAAGCCGCAACTGAGGCAACATTTTCGTTGCTAATCTTTTATGAGATTCCGCAGCCACAAAAGCGGATTCTTTTGGTCCGCATTCATGAAATGAATCTAGAATTGGAATATCTTTGTTTGTTTTTTTTTATCCCAAGAGCTAGTAATACAAAAGAAAACGTAAATGTAATTGGCATACAAAGGTTTTCTCTTTGAAAAATATATTTTGAGGAAACCAAATGGCAGCATTTTAAATATAATAATAAAATTAAGAAAATATTTTTGAAATTTAGAAAGCTTTTTTAAAAACCTAATTAAACTACCGAAAGCTTTTTAATAGTAAATATTTCAAGGAATTATTAAAATAATTTCAATTTAAATTTATTGAATAGTTGATTTGATTTTTAAACGCATTGCAGCAGTTATTCACGTATTTAGAGAAACTATGTTGGCTGGACAGCAACACTGTTGAGGAGGTTGGTGAAAATCAATAAAACCTAGGTGTTTGAAGATGATGGTAAAGATGTGAAATGGGAACTGGGCCACGGAAATTTAATAATTAGGTAAGCACACATGCAGTCAGGCTAATTGGCCTTCGCGCTGTGCAGAGAAAATTCTTGCTTTAAAGCTGCTGACAGAAGCTCGGGGCCCACTTTTTGGCGCTACACTCTCACAAACGGCAAATGGCACACAAAGAGGTCCAAAAATGAAAGGAACTCATTGGCATATCTACATATTTCTGGTTCAATGCATTGCCAGAAAGCACACACAAATACACCAGAGCGGCAAACCCAAAACACAGAATAGCAAACAAGCAGGCAAACATCTCTGGCGATTATGCAGTGAAAAAGAGCGGCAACGGGAAAGTGGGAAATGGGAAATGGACTGGCAGAAGGAAGGGGAAACGTGGAAATCCTCCGCAGGCCAGGCAAGCCGAAAGTATTCGAAAGATGCCAATTCATTTGTGCCATAAACAACTACAAACACAATCGGATGGCAACAACAATAACGCAGACACGAGATACTGCATATATCCGCACGGGGATATAGAATGCATATGCATATGCACACTGTATATTGGCCAACTATCGATCCAGACCATTGTAATTTGCAACTTTTCATTTTTCATTTTGATTTTTTTGTACTCGGAGATAAATTATTATTTGTTGGGGGTTGACAGTCGTAGTGAAATGTAAAATAATTTGTGGATATTCCACTCGGGTCAAATTAAGAAAATTGTTTCCGGTCTTACGTAAATTCCTCTTTGGTATCATCGAACACTAGATTTATTCAAGCCAAAATAACAGAGAAAATGTTCTAAAATGATTTAATTATTTTTTTTGTAATTTGTAAAGCTTTTTTTTCCCTTTTTCAAGAAATACAAAAGGCAGATTGAACTTTTTCGGTAGTGTATACATTTGGAACCCAAAATGAGCGTCTGTTATTTGTATTCGGGTTGCAGTTGTTTTTTTGTGGGAATGATATGAAAATTTGTCTGACCCATAAACCCAGACAGACATCTGTAAGTGTGTGGTTAAGGTGAATTGGGGCTTTGAAGCATTGCACTATGGGAAAATTACGGCTTTTTGGGAAATATTTCATGATGATGATTTTGGAATTGTGTCTATATTAAGAAAAGAATATTTTGTGAAAGAATTTAGTGGACTCCATTATTTGTTATACTAAAATAATGCATGATTTTAAGAAAATAAATTAACAATTACAGATATTATTGGACACCAATTCTTTACTTTTCGAAAAGAAATCCGAATTTTATAACATTATGTCCTGGCATAAACAGTGAAGCATAAGGTAAAGTTCGTTAAAGCGTACACTACAAGATGAAGTTAATCGCAAAGAGTGATGTACTCACCTTGTACCCCTTTTTAAAAAGTGCATTAAGTTCTATAGTGCAATGCCGTCCGGTCTGTCAAGCAATCCACATGTGAATCACACTCTTAAATGTGTTGGCCTTGTTATGACAGACTACCAATGTTAACCACTCCTGCCGATCTTATGCCGGCTTCTCCACTTTCAGACAAGAGCACACTTGGCTTTATGATTTAGCCAGGACCTTCGACAGAGTTTGTCATTTACTTTTTGTCACTGTTTCCAATGGCTTTCACGGCTGCGTACGTCTGTATGCAGGATAATTTGCTTTGACATGCAGCTTCTAAAACTTTAATTGACAAGAGCAAGGAGGAGGTGCTGTAACAGGAAAACAGCATGGAATGACCCACAACAACTGAGGCTTGGATTATATCCGGCTGAGGTATGAGCTTCGAAATAAACCAGGCAGCACCTCTCATCTTTTTCAGACCCATGCTGCAAGATAATTGTGTTTCCTGCCTGGAGCCAACAAATCTGCAAGAACAATAACCGGAGCGGCAGAAGCAACAGCAAATTATTGTATCATTGCAACAACGCAGTGTGCGAGTAACAACAGCTCTCAAGCTCGTCATGCAGCCATGAATGTCTGATGAGAATGTCACTTCTTGCAGCTGTCTCTGCTGTGCGCTTTTCCATGTCAATTCCATTTCCCAGCAACTACCAACATTTGTCGAGAGGAAAAAGTGAAAAAGGTATTCTTCGTTCGCAAAGGGAAGGTTGGTAGAAAAGCTTTTTCATTTAGAAACACTTTTTGTATTAAAAACAAATGGTATGCTTGTTCATCGTTTTAATAAAGTTCGAACATTGCATTGCCTCATTCGTTTGAAGTCATGGATCGATCGCTGAGTAAGTTAGCAATATCAGCGCTGATTATTTCATACTTGCTCCTTGTATATTTGGGCATATTTATGTCAGTTTATTGACTTGTAGATTCCTTTCTTGTTAAGTGTTAATTTCGTGCACAAATCTTAACCATATATGAGTAGGCGAAAACATTTATTGTTTCACAGATTCCGCAGATCGCTGTTTTATGGGGTCGGAACAGCTTTGCCTGCATTTCTTGTTGCAATGGATCTAATAAAAAGTCGGTAGTCAAAACCAAACATTTTGTGGATCCTTTTGGTTTCATTGCATTGCTAAAACAAATTTTGAATCCAAACTGAATCAACAGTTTGGCAACTAAGAGAGGCCCGCTAAGAGCGGCCGTGCACTGCTTTGCCGACGCGGCCCACTCGTTCCGACCCGACCCGATTCGTTTCGGCCCGGCCAAGAGCCGACGAAGAGGCGGCGAACTGTTGCGGGTGGCTGAAGTTTAAGGACGGACCGCGTGAACGGCGTCGTTCAGTTCCGTGCGAATTGGCGTTGGGTGTGGACGCGAGTGGCGGAAAGCAGGCGGCGTCTCTGGCAACAAGCTCTTCCATCTCTCGTGACTCTGGCGCCGATGCGACATTAGCTAGCTGCCAATTCAACAATTCCCGCAAAAGTTCAAGTGACAACTTCCCAACCAATAACAACTTTCCGACGAAGTCAACGCAAATTGATTCCGGTTCGATTGTCTCTCGATCTTCATCGATTCATTACGCACAGGAAAACGAAAGCAAACCATTAAGTTCTAGTGAAAAGTTTTCTTGGCTCCTTTAGCGTGGCAATGCTACCGAAGCCAAACCAAAAATTTCGCAAATGAGTGTTCGCAACGTCGGGCTAAACCAATTAAAAGAATTCATTCTTGTGTAATAAATAAATTGCTAACAATTATAACTTGTAATCGCACTCAAGCATAATCAAATGAAAAGTTCAACAAAATGTTTACGGCAATTGCAGCTCAAAGCGAGAGACCATAGACGATGTGCAAGGTGTTGTGGTAGTGGCAAGAAAACTCAAAGGAAGCCGCAAGGCTCGACCAGAAATATATAAGTTGTAATTGCAGGTAAGCAGTATACCGGGAAAGAACTGGCATGCATTTCTGATAATGAGTTCTTGGGAATACAAATTAAAGGTGTTAGATGTGAAAATTTATTTGTTTAAATTTGGCCGACATGTATTGAGCATTTTTAGTTCCCAAATTTGTAAACATATGATATATTCAATTTTAATTTATTCGTAATCAAAAAAGTCAATTTGTATCGAAAAATACAATCCCAAAAACATTAAGACTATAAACAACAAATGTTTAATAAATAAAGTCTATAATATAACAATAGGAACCATTAAAAATAAATAATACGATTCTTATAAAATTTACCCTAAAATAAATAACGTTGTTAAAAATAGCAATACGGTGAAACAAATTAAAAAATATATATTTTTTTCTTAAAAAATCCCGCTCACTAGAAGCAGTGCAAATTTTTCTTCTAAAGATTTTTGTTTGACTTGTTTTCCTTGCTTGCTTGATCCTAGAAAAAACAAATGTCTATAGCCTAAACGCCTGCCATGAAATAAAAAACTCCACACTGGGAAAACCCTGAGAGAACATGGAGAAACGAAAGAACGAATTTCCCAAATGCGACGTAATGTATTATTTGAACACCTTTAATTAATTAAACGGCACAACTTCCGAGTGCGGGCCACCAAAAAACTTCTTGAGCCAAGGCTGTTCTTACAGGTGCAAGAATGATTCTTGGGGGGCTGGGGAGTCGTTTTTCAACAGCATGATTATTATTTTATTTCATGTTGTGGCTTTTAAGTAACAGACTTTGCACAATCGCGTGGCGAAAATCCCGGCTATACGCCCCTGGGGGCGGTGATCCAGGGAGGCTTCTTTGTCCCAGAGCGTGCCGCATTTATACCAATTTGAAAAGCGCGGCTTACTTTCGCGCCAACCGCATGATTATTTATTTATTTGGTTTTTCCGGTCTGCGGCTGCTCTTTCCCAGCGCATCTTTACCCCAAGCCCCAGCTTTTCCATCTTTGGGGTTCGTTGCCCAGAAAGTATTTACATAAAATCTAATCAAAAGGCAAGCGATATTATCTGCTCGGACTGCTGCTCATGAAAATTTCAATAAGACTTTGACACAGATACAAATCTACGTTCATATGTTCATGTACATATGTAAATAAATATATACGAAAGAATATACATATATATAAATATATGTGGACTGCACTTAACCTACAGCCCGGCATCGTTTAGTAAAATAAGGTTTAGGGCTCGAACAACTCTAAAAGCATTTTTAATAATTCAGGACTTTTTATTTTGTTGGCTGTCTGTCAAGGCGCAATACAACTCTTTTAACTCTTGTTTGAATATATTTAAGTCGCATTCTTAAAGAGATATTAGTTCCGATAAAAACTTTATTGCAAAATATTAAAGTAATGTGTCGGAGAATGCATTCTTAAAATTACATATAATTCATAAAGATATTTCCTTATCTACGTACAGGAAGTCACGACTGTCCAACTGATTCGGACGATTTTGTTTGTCAATCGAGGCAAACTGTGACATTTTATTTACATCCAATAAAGCCGCAGAAAAAAATAAACAAAAAACGGACAGGAGGAAACCTTTATATGCCATCAAAATTAATGCAGTTAAGCCTGCCAATGTAATCAATGAAATATTGATATTTGTAATGTTTAATCTTTTCAATTAAATTGGCAATGATTTACGCTGTCCTTCCGAAGATGTTTGGTCACCGAATTGTAATGACACATTAAGCTCCGATACGAAACGTTGCGACGCGGCTGCGGAATTGTAAATGATGTTGTCGCATAAATCAATTAAAATACTAATTGAAAAATAATTAAATATACAAATTAAGTTGCAAGTTGTATGTGCTTCTCTGCATTAATATGCTCGGTGATTTAATGAATGAAATTGCTTGAAATGACTGTGCTCTCTGTGAGGATATTGCTCGGCAGCACCCGCTGAGCTTCAATCGTTCGCCCAATAAACATCCAACGTCCATCCATTAAAGTCTCATTTTAAATAACGTATACGCCCCGCTGCTACAGCCAAACAATCGAACGTGTTTTTCCAAGCATTCACAGGCCAAGCAATCATTTATTTAGGCGAACAAAAGTAAGCGCCCCATAAAACTATTCAACTGATTGCGGTATTTTCGTTTCCATAACGCATACGCCTCGATGACCCGATTAAATGCCGCCTAATTGCTTCCTTAAGCCTAAAAGCTACTTCAGCAAAATAATATGGCTCATAGACTCTTAGCGAACACAAAAGCACTAAATTCGGTGAAGAGGAAATTATTTGAATTCAATATTTTCATCTGGCATGCACAATTTCAGGCTTTTCATTCAGTCTCTCACTTGATGCATATACATTTTAATGCATTCATTTAATAGGACGGCCCCAAACGGGATGGGGACATCCATCTACCAATCAATCAATCAGCGGGCGTGATGAAAATTATTTTAAGAGCCAAAAAACACTCGGAGAGTCCGAATAAGGAGCAAAGTAAAATAAAAGAAAGGAAAGTTTGGGGCTGTGGTTTGCATAATAATGGGATATTCCAAGGCTGGCCAAGAATGCGGTTCTGGGTTCTCAGCTGACTGCTTCCAAGCCAACAGTACGTGCCGCCGTCACTGAGCAGGGATCGGATGGACTTAGTTCGGTGGATTTGGTTCCATTCTGGCCACTCAACCGCAACACAGATACAAATTAGCAATTGCAGAAACTCTTCCTTGCTTACGCCCATTTCGAATTTTGCTGCCTCCTTTCAATGCAATCGGGAAATTCAAAATTAAAGTATTCACCAAGGGATTAAGGATGGGGTGGATCCTCTTTCTGAAGCTCTCACCCTCGGCGTAAACATTGACAAAAAGTTTTAATTACAACAAAGCAATTATTAAACATTAGCTCGGTTTCGGCTAAAAGCTAATGCAAACAGAGCCGACGGCAATGCATACTTATGAGGGCTGAGAAAAGCACTTCCCGCTTGTAGACTCGAGCAAATGGAGCGTGCTGCATGTTAATTAAAAACACAGGCTGAATGACAGCAATTAATCTGACTAGACCTTCCGCTCGCTTATCCGAATGGAAAAGCTTTCTGGTCAGTTTTTCTGCTGGTTTCCTTGATTTACATAATATGCTAATTACGACACACTTTCCAGCGCATAAATCATTCATTAATCATCAGCTTTCGGGCCAGTCCAATTCATGTGCGGGCTCTTCAATTAGACCCTGAACTTTTCATCCGTTTTGGCTGTCTCTAGCTTTGTCGACTCAATGTGCGCAAATTCTGTGCTAAGATTTTAATTTTGCTCTAGAATGCAGCGTGCGTCTGTGCGCGATAAAATGAATATGATGTTTTCGAAAGGAATAAAGGCTAAGGTTACAGGCAGGGAAAGAAAATAACAATTAAGTAGTCTTTAAACATAATATAATTCAATATTAAAGACAAAAAAAATATTGTCGATTTTTTAGTTGAACTTCATTCTTAATTATTAATTACTGAAACAAAATTATTTGGAAATAACAAATGATAAGAAACCGAAACTTCTAGGTCTTAAACCATAAAACAAAGATGGTAACATTTGGCAAACTCACAGAGAAATTCATCATGTCAGTTGTTTGTACATTTAAAAATTATAATAAATAATTAAAAGCAAGTTTTAAAAAACGAATTAATGGATTTATTGACTCCCTACCTATTATGTTATTTCTTCTTGAATCAGCAAAATGAAAAATTTAATCAAAGCCGTTCGCAATTTTTTAGGGTACTTTAAATTATTAACTAGTTTTGAATCTTGTTGAAATGTGATTTTGTAGAACCACTTTTGGTTTTCCAGCTGATCAACTTTCTCCACGCCTCATTAACGCCTTAGGCCTTAGCCAATCCCCACTGTATGTGTAGTATACTGCTGTTTGCTGCAAACGCATAAAAAATTGTTGCCACATCACTCACTCAGCTTGGACGCGACGGCGGCAGCTGCTTTCACCGCCTTTCTTCTGCATCTTTCCCGAGCGGAGGAGGGGCGGGGTGGGGATGGGACTCTTACAATATGCCATCGCGGCCCTGGCAGCCTGCAGTCAAAGGCATCTCATCAGCAGCCATTCTGGGCCCTCTACCCTGCAACATTTCCTCACAAAATATGTATGCCATGCGGTTGGGAGGTGGGTCAAAGGGTAAGGGGCTTATTTCGTTATCACTGCACCTTTTGCGATTGGCAAGCGATTTTTATTGGCCCAGTGCCGCTAAAAATAAGCGAACCTTGAGATTTCGACCGACTTTTAATTGCATACTTTGTAGGACCCATAATCGGGGCACACAAAGCCAGCGTCGCAACCATGTGCGTTTTATGTGCTTTTTTAACCTCTTTACTACTTTTAAGGGCCATGGGGCACTTAAATTTGTTGCAAAAATGCGAGCGGAATTGAAATTGAAATCGAAATGGGAATGCAAAAACACAGCCACATTGAGAGCAATTTCAATGGTGTCCCGTATATTTTCCGCCGCACATCCACATCCTGCAGCGCTTTCCCGGCCTAAGTCTATTCACGATTTCGAGCCTATGCCGGGTGCTAAAGCACATGCGGCGCCATCGCAACTTGGAATCAGGCTGAATGAGTCGTCCGCGCTGTACAACTTTTTGCTCATGCCAAATATACTATATAGAGTTGGAGAGACAGGAACATGGGGGGGAAGGAAAAATACAAAGCCTACTTAAATACATTCATTTATCGGCAGTGAACATTTTTGGTGGGTGTTAAAAAAGATTTTGGGCGAGTAAGAAACACAAAAAAGAACTCCATTGTCGATTTCCCCAATTAGATAAACATTACTCTGTTAACCATCTTTAAAATAAATATCCCGCCAATAGATGTGCAATGTGTAAGTCTATCGGTGCGGTAAAACAACATATATTTGGCGCCAACTGGCGGCAAGGTATATTTATCCCCTAACGCTGGCGTTATTAAAATAATTGTTCGGTTTTGAGAATGTTGCTTTCTTGTTTTAAATTTACCAAATA